TTCATACACACACTCACCTATAAATTCATACACACACTCACCTATAAATTCAGGATACTCTGCAAATTGCAAGTATTTAAGATCAAAGCCTCATGATGGGGTGCAAAATAACAGTGAAGGATACACAGGACTTGTTTAAGGGTCCAGTGGGAATTCCAGTGAGGATGATAGCTTAGCGACAAACACGTGACTAACCCTGCTCACTTGTGCAAGCCTGCACACTCAATTTTCAACCTGTCTTTGTATTTCACAGGTAATAAGTTCTATTTCTAGCTGCCTCTGACCGTAACAGTCAAGACTGCTATGAAAAAACACTAAGAAAACATTGACTATAGCCCCCAACATAATATTTTTTTATTACATTAAAAATGCTATAATGAAAATTTAATCTATGCCACCAAGTGAAGAAATGTTTCAAATCCTTGGGCCAAAAACTTGGTGAAGCCGTGGTTTCTGTAGCATTGGAAATAAAATTAGAGTTGCTATAAGCAAGTGCTCAGGAGAAAGGTGAGCAGCACCCTGGCTTTGTTCCACCACCTCTCCCAGGGCATCCCGGAGCTGTGCCTGGACAGAGGACAAAGCTGTGGACCCACTCAGTGCTGCAGTCCCACTTAGTGCTGCGGTCCCACTCAGTGCTGTGGACCCACTCAGTGCTGCAGTCCCACTCAGTGCTGCGGTCCCACTCAGCTGCATATCCTCCGCCTACCTGGTGCATCACTACTCTCCTTTCTTCACTTTCTGCCCTCCAACCCGTGTATCTGTGGCACGAAAGGAACCCATTTGCCATGATCGGTGTTTGTTTAATAAAACCCTGCTAGATAACTGGAGGAACAAAATGCACCTGAAAGGAGCCTCCGCTTTGAAAACGGACCGAGTCTGATGCATGAATTCGTAGTCTCAAGACCCTCTTGATGGAGCTGCAGCTGCAGCCATTCAAGGGCTGGATTTTTCACAGACGTAGACAGAGAGAGCGCCACGGGTTTGTCTTTGTGTTGTTGGATCTGCTTTCTTTAACATAAAAGGGCAACTTTTTTTAAGTTCTTAGTTTCATTGCAGAACTTGTGAGCCCTGAACTGCTTTAGTAGTCCACACGGCTGGAGGCCTGTGACTCTAAATCTAAGATCACAAAGTTGGCAAAAGCGATTCTTTAAAACAGAAGGTAATCATTTGCATTTCAAAATTTATCTATCTTGCTTTTCCCCTCAATTAGACCAAAACATGTTGATTCCCAGGTTTCAGCAAGTGTTTTCTGGTCTAAACTTATTTATAGAACAGAATAATGGCCCCCCTGCTAGTCTGGCATTTGCTCAAGTTTCTGTCCATGTAAATCGAATCTGTTACTGGAAATTTTTCTCAAAATATCAAGGCACACCATCCACAAGATAAAAGGATACACTGATGCGATAAAGTACAGGCAGGTGGGCGAGGTTTTTGGACAAACAGGCTAAGGATTCCCGGGAAGGGGGCGGGGTGGGGCAGGGACAGGTGAGCTGCTTAAGCAGAGGGCAGGCAGGGCCCCTCCACACCCTGTGACCACAGGAGCTGCTCCAGCGGCAGTGACTGACTCGCACAGCAGTGCTCGGGGCAGAGTCGGGAATCAGGAGGGAAATTATTGCCCGGGGGCTATTTACTGACTGCCGTGTGGTCACTACACACTGAAATACTGACCCGTTACCACTGTGAGAAGAAGACTACCTACTCACAGGAACTGCTGCTGCTCAGTTCTAAGGGAGGCTCTGCAGCCCACTCCCCTTCGGATTACAAGGTGGAGGCCCTGCCTCTCGAGGCTTAAGGTCATTCATGTTAACTGGAAGGGGAGAGGTACTCTTGGGTTTGCTTCTCCTTGTCGCTGAAGCTGATCTGCCCAAGGGTTGGAGGGACTTCCCTGCTGCTCACACACTGAGCAGCTAAGCAGCTGGAAGGTGCAGTTCTTTCATGCAAACAATTACAACAAAGCCTCTCTTTGGACTACAGTTTGGCTGCATTCTCCCCCCACCCCACCCCCAAACACTATGAAGGACAACAACCGGGAAGACTGCAGAAGACAGGGTCCGTTAGTGGTGCACTGCCACCTGCTGGCCAAATGTAGGGACTGCTCTTCCCGGAGAAATGAAGTTAGGTCTCAGAAACCGGTTCGTCAGCACGTGAAACCCAGAGTTTATATGGAATGGTTCTATCCCATCATATAGAAGCTCTCAGATGCTGACGTAGAAGTGGCCTTGATGTGCTCAGACACAGACACAGCACCTGGCACAAGCACCCACCCACGGCACTCAGCTCTAAGCTACACAGCACGCTGGACCCCACTTCAGGACGTACAGCACACTTTACCCACAGGGCCCCCAAATTCATCGCAACTAATAAACATATTCGTGCCAGCTGTCACCACATTAGAAAGTGGCGCCTAAAAATGCAAGGATGTCACTACAATTTGTTGTTGTTCCATTAACTACATAACAGTATCAGCTCCCAAGCAGTTGTTCCGGACCAAGTTTGAGGATTTGCATTATGAGTTGAAAACTTGCCTTCCCTCAGCCCAGCCACTCTTGACGGTTAAGGTTTCCCCTAAAGAGAATAAAGTTCTTTCGTTCCTGATTATCATTTCCTATGAAGCCTAGCTAACTTAGCAGTAACACGATCGTGAGCTAATACAAACTGAAGACGACACACCTAGTGAGTCCTGCCTGCTCGGCTGGCTGACACACCCGACAGTAATGAATCAAATGCTCAAGATGGGAGAGGAAGCGGTGGATTTAAACAGAGCCTGCCTTCACTGGCAAGAGAGTAACTCAAATCTAATCAAATGCTTGGCTGTGGCTGCCTACAGGGAGGGGCCCTAATGTCCACAGTGATACATCTGTAATGTTAAAAAATAAAGAGCAGGCAGGAAGGGCAAGAGAGACTTGAGTCAAGTATTCAGCTATGTGGGCCATCTTAAAGTAGAGGGAACATGTTTACTATGCTCTCCAATATACACTATCTTAAAATGTGTTCCCGGCTTCCAGGGTAGTTCACCCCTGAAGGCACACTGCATCAAAAGAACACATTTTATCCACTGTAGCCTGGGCAATTTCACCCACATCTTAATAAAACTTAATAACGTTCACCCATGTGAAGAGGCTCAGGGGACATGAGGCCTTGCTTAAGACACTTGAAAGAATGCAATGAGTTTCCAGAGATAAATAAATGCTTTTAACAGGGCAGTAAGTGTACACGTGTGGGCACGCTCGCACATGCACACATGCACACACACACACACACACACACACACACACACACACACACACACCTCAGTTCAATCCCCTACTTCTCTTCATTGGAGGGCTGAAAGAACAGATCAGCAGACCCAACACATACTGCCGTTGAATAACACAACTTGTGCAGAGAAGTAAGAGCCACCGAGCCACCTTTTCAAGTGAAGCGTTTGAGGAGATTGCTCTAACCTGGGGCACAGTACATTCTCGCTATGGCATCGCTGTCACAGGAATCTTCAACCTCACTCCACCTGCTAAAATACGTTAGCTGAATGTGTCCTAAAAACAAAACGACAGGAGAAATCAAAACATTTTTCTCTTCCATTTTCTGCAGAAGCGAACTGTAATTACTCCTTTTGTAGCTAAAAACAGTATCATTAAGAATAATGGCATCATTAAGTACTAGAAGCTATTACTGGGGGTGAATTTGCCGCACTGATAATGAAGCTCTAGACAGGAAATGAAGATACTAATTACAAGATAAAACGCCTACTCAGTTAATTGGAAGCAACAGCGAATAAAAAGAAATGCATTTGCGAAAGTTCCTGACCTCCATCATTCAATAAGATGTTGTTTGGGTTCAGATCGCGGCACACAATCCCCTCTCTGTGCAGGGCGTCAAGGGCTACCACCATTTCAGCTGCCCATCTCTGAACGCAGCCCTCCGGGATGAAGAACCTAGAGCTCACTGCTAATTTCTTATCAAGGTCCTCAAAAATCTGATGGATTTCCTTGTCTCCTCCCAGGGCGAGCACACTTTGCTCCTTGGTCTCAGAGTGTCTCTGAAATGGAGGGCTCGGTTCCTCTTTGGCCTGCTCTGTGAACAGTAACACTTCCTCCACTGTGGCAGTGTCTGTCTGTGCACCGTATCCCTTAGCACCTGAGTGTGGGCTGCAAGTGTGGGTCAGGCTTTCTCCCGCCTCGTGCGCGTGCGCGGTGACCGCGGCCTCCGCGTGTCCCAGCCCTGCAGACTCAGGGTACGAGCTGGGCAACAGAAACTGGTCTGCTGGGCTGCTGTGGTCAGCAGCGGCGGGGCCTAACACCCCGGGCTCTGCCTGAGCCGGGTGCTTTGGAGTCAGGACACAGGGCAGGGGCCCAGTGCCCTCGCTCGGCTCCTCGGGGCCTTCTTGTCCCGGGCCCTGGCACTGCTGGGGACTCAGCCTGAGGCACAGCACATCCGGGGCTTCCAGCAGTTTGCCTTCCAGCCTGCCTGCCCCGGCCTGCGCAAACTGGGTGCGGTGGGTCGCCGAGGCCTCCTGGGTTGGCTGCAGTTCTCCGGGGAGGTTTACCAGCAGGTCGGGCCTTCCGTCCTCTGCACCGCAGACATCCCCCAAAGCCGCTTCTTTGAAGGAAATGACAGGGACCGAGTCGTCCGAGCCCCTGCTGACCGAGTCCTGGGCGAAGAGCGCTTTCAGAGGCTCTGG